TTATTAAGCTCATTCAGGAGAAAACCAATCTGAAAACGGGTGCTACATTTCTTAAAGGAACCATTCTTAAATTATTTTTAGCCCTTAAATTCATTAACCAATTTACTCAGTCTCAGAAAAAATTCATTCTGGACTCAAAGAGTAAGTGTGGTAATTTTGAGTAGGATATGCTGTATTTTTCATACATAACTAAGGCCTGGTCTACACTACAGAGTTAGATTGATGCAAGGCAGCTTATGTCGACCTAACTATGTAAGTATCTACACTAAAATTTCGCTCCTTTTGACAGAACTGCCCCGCTATGCCAACTTAATAATTCCACCTCTGTGAGAGGCGTAGAATCAATGTCAGTGTAGTTAGGTTGACGCAGTGTTAGTGTAGACACTGCATTGCTTACATCATTTGTTACTGGCTTTTAGAAGCCATCCCACAATGCCCCACACTGACAGTACAATCGGCACAAAAGCTCCTGGTGAGGACGTGCACCATCGACACAAGGAACAAAGCGTAGACGTGCACAAGCGATGTAATTACTGCGGTGGCTGTTTGTTGATGTAAGATGGAATGACTTAATTTTGTTGCGTAGACATGCCTTAAGTGGTTAATCAATTCTTTAAATGTTAAGCTCAACTCAACCCAACCTTGACTGTGCAACTGCAAGTGGCACTTCCATAATGGAAATATATACTTTTTACACGTGTCCCCACCCTATATGCACACATTTTATATTCATTCATATTACCTCCTCAGCTAAGCAACCCCAATCACTATTCTTCTCCAACAAGCAAACCCTTTCACATATTGGCATCCCTTTTAATAATCTATTACTCATATCAATATATTACTTATCAATAAAAAGAAAAGGAGTACTTGTGGCACCTTAGAGACTAACCAATTTATTTGAGCATGAGCTTTCGTGAGCTACAGCTCACTTCATCAGATGTTCATGCTCAAATAAATTGGTTAGTCTCTAAGGTGCCACAAGTACTCCTTTTCTTTTTGCGAATACAGACTAACACGGCTGTTCCTCTGAAACCTTACTTATCAATGGCACTTAAGCATTCAGTGTGTAAGCTTTGCCAGTGAAATATATAAACTCAGGAATCTCAGACATTTGCTAAAGACTCGCTGACTGGCATTTTTGTGCCCTGCTGAGCTTACTGTATAAGCATCACAACAAGCTTGTATCAGTGTCAGCTGTACAGAGCCATCCTTAACATAGCTTTGAGCCGAGACCATGCATAGAAAATTTCAGTGCAAAAGGAATTTTTCTGAGAAAGTTAGAAGCAACTGAAAAAAAGGTGATGGTTAGAACAGAAAATGCATTTCAATTTCAGCTGTAACAATTACTGCCTTAAATTACTGACATGTTGAGCGTGTGACTGCAACAAAGCAGTTGGTAAAAAGATGTTCACAACATGGGTTTGGCCTGGATGAATTCAATTATGTAGGTCATAAGTAAAGCTGGTTGCTCTTCTTTCTTATTTTTTTAATTTCCGAAGACCATCTCATTTTGCTAGTTTTCAAATAAGATCTTTTTTCTTCATTTTTCAAAATTTCGTGTGGATTTTTTATTGTATTTTTCAATTTAAAAAAAATCTGACTGTTCAAAAATGAATTTATTTCAAAATCAAAACTTTTCATCTAATTTTGTCAGTTCTGAAAAACTCTACCATGTGACTAGGCTGACTAATCAAGATTGGAAATACAAAAAAAAAAAAAAAAAAAAAAAAAACCCCCACACCCTGAAATTGAAAACCATAAACCAAAAAAGAAGGTTTGAAGTAAAAGATTTTCATTTTTTTTAAACAAAAAAAATAGTTTTTGTTTAAAAAGAAGTATTTACTAAAATTCTAGTTGTAAGTGAGTTATTATACAGGTCATTCGAAGACAGTTTTGATAAAAATCTTTATACCATGCCAAGCGAGCATGTGTATGTCACATATTTTACAGAAACAACTATATTAGAAAGGTTTCAGAGTAACAGCCGTGTTAGTCTGTATTCGCAAAAAGAAAAGGAGTACTTGTGGCACCTTAGAGACTAACCAATGTATTTGAGCATAAGCTTTCGTGAGCTACAGCTCACTTCATCGGATGCATACTGTGGAAAATACAGAAGATGTTTTCATACACACAAACCATGAAAAAATGGGTGTTTATCACTACAAAAGGTTTTCTCTCCCCCCACCCTACTCTCCTGCTGGTAATAGCTTATCTAAAGTGATCACTCTCCTTACAATGTGTATGATAATCAAGGTGGGCCATTTCCAGCACAAATCCAGGATTTCTTCCCCCCCCTCCCCCCCCGCAACAAACCCACTCTCCTGTTGGTACATACCAATCCACAGAGACCTCCCTACCAACACTACAAAAAGAAGGCTTCTAGGTGGACTCCTCCTGAAGGTCGAGACAGCAGACTGGACTTCTACATAGAGTGCTTCCGCCGACGTGCACGGGCTGAAATTGTGGAAAAGCAGCATCACTTGCTCCACAACCTCAGCCGTGCAGAACACAATGCTATCCACAGCCTCAGAAACAACTCTGACATCATAATCAAAAAGGCTGACAAAGGAGGTGCTGTCGTCATCATGAATAGGTCAGAATATGAACAAGAGGCTGCTCGGCAGCTCTCCAACACCACTTTCTACAAGCCATTACCCTATGATCCCACTGAGAGTTACCAAAAGAAACTACACCATCTGCTCAAGAAACTCCCTGAAAAAGCACAAGATCAAATCCATAGAGACACACCCCTGGAACCCCGACATGGGATATTCTATCTACTACCCAAGATCCATAAACCTGGAAATCCTGGGCACCCCATCATCTCAGGCATTGGCACCCTGACAGCAGGATTGTCTGGCTATGTAGGCTCCCTCCTCAGGCCCTACGCTACCAGCACTCCCAGCTACCTTTGAGACACCACTGACTTCCTCAGGAAACTACAATCCATCGGTGATCTTCCTGATGACACCATCCTGGCCACTATGGATGTAGAAGCCCTCTACACCAACATTCCACACAAAGATGGACTACAAGCCGTCAAGAACACTATTCCTGATAATGTCACAGCTAACCTGGTGGCTGAAATTTGTGACTTTGTCCTTACCCATAACTATTTCACATTTGGGGACAATGTATACCTTCAAATCAGCGGCACCGCTATGGGTACCCGCATGGCCCCACAGTATGCCAACATTTTTATGGCTGACTTAGAACAATGCTTCCTCAGCTCTCGTCCCCTAACGCCCCTACTCTACTTGCGCTATATTGATGACATCTTCATCATCTGGACCCATGGAAAAGAAGCCCTTGAGGAATTCCACCATGATTTCAACAATTTCCATCCCACCATCAACCTCAGCCTGGTCCAGTCCACACAAGAGATCCACTTCCTGAACACTACAGTGCTAATAAACAATGGTCACATAAACACCACCCTATACCAGAAACCTACTGACCGCTATTCCTACCTACATGCCTCCAGCTTTCACCCTGACCACACCACACGATCCATTGTCTACAGCCAAGCTCTGCGATACAACCACATTTGCTCCAACCCCTCAGACAGAGACAAACACCTACAAGATCTCTATCAAGCATTCTTACAACTACAATACCCACCTGCGGAAGTGAAGAAACAGATTGATAGAGCCAAAAGAGTTCCCAGAAGTCATCTACTACAGGACAGGCCTAATAAAGAAAACCCCTCCAACGCATTATCAAGGATCTACAGCCTATCCTGAAGGATGACTCAACACTCTCACAAATCTTGGGAGACAGGCCAGTCCTTGCCTACAGACAGCCCCCCAACCTGAAGCAAATACTCACCAGCAACCACATACCACACAACAGAACCACTAACCCAGGAACCTATCCTTGCAACAAAGCCCGTTGCCAACCGTGCCCACATATCTATTCACGGGACACCATCACAGGGCCTAATAACATCGGCCACACTATCAAAGGCTCGTTCACCTATACATCCACCAATGTGATATATGCCATCATGTGCCAGCAATGCCCCTCTGCCAGGTACCATGGGCAAACTGGACAGTCTCTACGTAAAAGAATAAATGGGCACAAATCAGATGTCAAGAATTATAACATTAAAAAACCAGTTGGAGAACACTTTAATCTCTCTGGTCACTCGCTTTCTGATCTCAAAGTGACTATCCTTCAACAAAAAAACTTCGAAAACAGACTCCAACGAGAGACTGCTGAATTGGAATTAATTTGCAAATTGGATACAATTAACTTAGGCTTGAATAGAGACTGGGAATGGTTGAGTCATTATAAAAAGTAACCTATTTCTCCTTGTTTATTCCTTCCCCCCTTCCCTCCCCACTGTTCCTCAGACGTTCTTGTTAAACCCTGGATTTGTGCTGGAAATGGCCCACCTTGATTATCATACACATTGTAAGGAGAGTGATTACCAACAAGAGAGTAGGGTGGGGGGAGAGAAAACCTTTTGTAGTGATAAACACCCACTTTTTCATGGTTTGTGTGCATAAAAACATCTTCTGTATTTTCCACAGTATGCATCCGATGAAGTGAGCTGTAGCTCACGAAAACTTATGCTCAAATAAATTGGTTAGTCTCTAAGGTGCCACAAGTACTCCTTTTCTTTTTATATTTAGAAATGTTCTTTAAAATATCTGTCGATTTTGGGTTGGTTTTTTTTTTTTTTAACCTCCTCACCAGTAAAACAAGATTCTCTTTGGCACACAAAGGAAAACTGAACAGCCTTGGAGGAAAATATTATAAATAATACACTTTAGAAGTCTCTACAAATTACCTAAGATAGCTTTTCCATATGTCATCATGGCATGGTTTTAAGGCCCATTATTTTGCAGTCTGTGAGGGCTAGAAACTGGAAAGGGGAAATTCCTTGACAGGCTGCCCTTATAGGTAAAAGTAGAGTGCTACTAGCCAAATGGAGGGACCTGTGAAACTCCCTGCTTGTTAGAGTCATGCTAAGCATTATGAATAGTTCCTACCTCATGATTGGAGAAGAGCCGCACTCCTTCCATCTGGTGAAAGATTGGGTAGTGGCTGCTATCGATCGTATCGCGGCGGTAGACATCTCCCACAACCAAAAAGGCATCCAGCCCCGAGTGCATCAAGTCCCACTGGTGAGCGGACGTGTGTGCTCTTAGCATATGAGTATGGTTCATATAGTAGTTTTCCCCTTTCCTCCTGCTGGGGTGGTCTTGTGGGATAAGCAATCTGTCAAAGTTCTGCTCCACTGTAACCACCGGGGACAGATCATCATAAACAGAAAAGAGTGGGGTCCCAAAACGTCCTATATACTGCTTGTAAAAATGATCCTTTATCCGCTCTTTGATCAGCCACAAAGGATGGTACCTTTGGTTGTGCAAGTTCTTTCCCACCTTGGACAGAATTTTCTCTGTGGCATTGCTGTAGTCATCTCGAGGGTACACTTTACCAAGCAGTTCCACTGTACTTGATGTGGGTGTTTTGGCAGCAAAACTTGAAGTTACAGTCCTGGACCAGGCATGCCCAAAACTGGTGATTCTTCCTATCTGGACTCCCTGTGATAAAACAGTTTTGGAATAACGAACTACTCTCATGAAATTCCAAGATGCTGCCATCATAATACCTCCAAGGCTCTAGAAAGAAGGCAAAAAAATTAATAGTCAAGATTTGCTGTAGGTATTGCAAACAGTCTAATGATAATGAAAAGCCAAACATCAATTCATTAAATAAGACAGAAGTCCAGTGTTGTGTCCACTACCTTACAGAAAAATCTTATGACCCAATTCCAGCTAGATTATCTTCTCCAACCACCAACTCTGCCCTTCTATTAATGATTTGGGGCCCGATTCTGTCCCCATTAAAGATGATGGGAATCTTTACAGTACCTTAAATAAAAGTAGTATAGGCCTTTTATTTATTATTTTTTATATTCAATTTAACCTCCCTCCCCCCAATAACTCAACATATTATACAGGAGAAATTGTGGTAAGTGTTAACACGTTTGTCAATAAGATATTCATTTATAATTATATTCCACGTGCTAACATATTGTTGTACATTCTCAAAACAAACTACAGGATTAAATAGCAGCAGCAGCACAAAAGAGAAGCAAATGTAATATTTTGCATTGTTTACAACAAAATTTTGTCCCCCATAAGAAGTCTAGAGATGAAACCTAGCTCATTTCACAGCATAACATACAAACATAACATATGCATTACAAACTATACATTTGTAGATATTTTTTCTATTTAACAGAAAACAAAAAAAGTCAGTCTGACCTTTCAAACTATGTAACTGTGTAAAGTCAGACAACCACTCACAATACATATAAACCAACATATTAAATTCACAATGGAACACTGTATGAGGTTCTTTATACAGATTCTACACGGACAGAACTGGTCTTAGCATTTTGAGAAAAACCTGCAAAACAAATTTCCAAACCCACTCTAATGCAAATTACTCTTGTCCATGCTGATTATACCACTACACAGAGACTAGGCCTTAGGATTTTGGGGAAGGTCAGTGAAATGGAAGATTTTGCTAGGGATGGGGGGTTTGGTGGTTGTGTCAGATACAAATGACCATCTCTATAAAAGAGGTATCATTTTCTATCCCCCAGTTTCTCTGGTTGCAGTAGCAGAGCCTTATTGTGCTGGGTTCAAACATAACTGCTGTACACTGAAGTGTTTAAAGAGATAATTCCTGAACAAGCAAGGATTCTGAGGGCTGTAAGGCCTCCAGAAACTATAAGATTCTGTGCTCATTCACGGAAATGTTAGCACTTATATACCATTAGTAGTGCTTTACAAACATCACAAGACTCCTGTGAAGTACGTAAATACCACTGTCTCTATTGTAAGAAGTGGGACACAAAGGTATTATTGTTAAGTGACTTGTGTAAGGGCACAAAAGGAGTCTGTGTCAGAGACAGTATTCAAGTCTAAGGGTATGTCTACACTACGAAATTAGGTCTAATTTATAGAAGTCAGTTTTTTAGAAATCGGTTTTATATATTCGAGTGTGTGTGTCCCCACAGAAAATGCTCTAAGTGCATTAAGTGCATTAACTCGGCGGAGTGCTTCCACAGTACCGAGGCTAGAGTCAACTTCCGGAGCGTTGCACTGTGGGTAGCTATCCCACAGTTCCCAGTCTCTGCCGCCCATTGGAATTCTGGGTTGAGATCCCAATGCCTGATGGGGCTAAAACATTGTCGCGGGTGGTTCTGGGTACATATCGTCAGGCCCCCGTTCCCTCCCTCCCTCCGTGAAAGCAAGGGCAGACAATCGTTTCGCGCCTTTTTTCCTGAGTTACCTGTGCAGACACCATACCACGGCAAGCATGGAGCCCGCTCAGCTCACTGTCACCGTATCATCACCAACGCCCCAGTCCCTTACAGCTCCCTTTGACCTCACACCCTGTATGACCTGTCTTACAACTTGTGGCTACAGGAATACAGATGAGCTAATAAGTATATAAGCTCTGAGTACATGAAAGGTTTTAAAGCAAAAATCTTTAAAGCTCTTTTATCCTGCCTCCCATCCAAGAATATTTAATTAATGAAAAATTCTGAAGTGCCATGGAAAATATTAGAAAATTTGGACTGCCACCATCTTGTGATCTGACAGCTTTTGTGTACATTATGTGTGGGGAGGAGAGTTCCACTAACACAGCATATGCTAAAACAAAAATTATAACATATGCTAGGTTGCTAAAATTGGACATTTACCAGTCTGCTTAGCAATTTAGCAAAGCCCTGCATTTTAGTTTTGAAAACTGTGCAGGCATACAGCAGCAACTATCACTGTTTTAGCCATGACCATGTCTGTATTTTTTCCCCACTGGTTACAATAGGACACCATGGAAGTGGTTTATAGTGCCATAATATTAGCAGTTTGAATGCTCTACCAAACTAAACTCTGGGTTTAGAACACAGACATCTTGTTAAACTCCAAAACAGGCCTGCAGTCCTACCACAAACATCGAATTTGTTATACAACAAAGACTTTTGAAATAGGTTGTACCTCATGTACACACTTAGGCTTCAATCTTATCAGGTGGTGAGCATCCTCAGATCCTGCTGAGGACATCTAACATTTCCCATGGCCTTTCAAAATTTTGTATTAAAATCTTGGGAAGAAGGCAGGCTAAAATGATTTTTTTAAAAGACTTTTAATTTTTTCATGTACTCAGAGTTCATCTACTTAACAGCCTATGTATAGTCTTGCAGCCATAAATTGTAAGGAACATACACAAAACCCCCTTTTTGCAGTTTCTGTAACCAAAACAAGATGCCGTAGGCTGGTTTGTTGTCTGTTTTCTAATAGTGCCTCATTAATCATGACGATATCACTGGAAACATTTGGAGGCTTGCAATATTGAAAGAGGAAAATTATAAAATCTTTTCTTGGATAAGGTTATTAACCATCATATTTCTCCTTATTGTTCTGTTTAATAACTGTTTAAAGTTTGGAATAGAAGTTAATAATCAAACCATCTCTTCTAACTAATCCAGTTGTCTAATTCCTTAGCAAAGTTTAGTATTTTTATGTCCTGTTTTACACACATCAACATTGAGTGGCACAGAGAAAGCGGCCCATGTATCTCAAGCACGCTTTCCTCCACCACCATCCTTCTCAACTACAAGAAAGTTGCACCATGTGAGGTCAAACCCTATGGTGCAGCATCTCCTGGGAGAACAGAACATTCTTCTGCAAGAGCACTGCATGGGCACCAATAGTTGTATATTAAAATGTTAAAGTAAGAAGTGCAAACTCTCTATATAAATTTCAGGTAGGATACGATAACTGATGACAATTCCAGTGTCCTCTTCATATCATATTGGCTTATACTGCAGGTTCCATTATTTCGTTCCTGATGCTATCCACCAAGCATACCTAGAACAGCTACAGTGCACCAGTTATTCACATCATTTAGGTGTTCTGGTTTATTCATAAATTAAAGCACATTAATTTAAATAGATAACATTTCTCAATTTCTCAGAAGTTTTTTTCTCCTGCTGATAATAGCTCATCTTAACTAATTAGCCTCTCACAGTTTATACGGCAACTTCCAACTTATCTGTATGTGTATATATCTTCTTACTATATATTGCATTCTATGCATCCGATGAAGTGGGCTGTAGCCCATGAAAGCTTATGCTCTAATAAATCTGTTAGTCTCGAAGGTGCCACAAGTACTCCTGTTCTTTTTGCAGATACAGACTAACATGGCTGCTACTCTGAAACCTGAAAGTTCTCAATAGCTTCTCACATGTTTCAGGTGAATTCAAATTCATTTTCGGTGTGCTCAAAAGGTCCACAAGCTCTATAATTCTGTTATAACTCTAGTTGCATTAAATCTACATTTCAAATATTGACAGAGTTTGGTTCTAAATGAATTACATGAGCTAAATAATGTATGTTTTAGCAGCTGGGAAAGTGGAGTGCCTGTACACTGGAATTTGTGTTCATTAAACTACAATCACATCTAATTTGTTGTACTGTACCATTCAGAGAATGTCAAATTTAAAACAGAGGGCTAGAGGGGCACAGATAGAAACTATCACCTTTCAAATGGCATCAGAAGTCAACCAGCAGATGGCCACAAATTCAAATTGTGCATATTTTAGTACCCAATGTAATAGAATAAAGGCACCAAGCCCTATAGTCTGTGAAATTTAAAAATTTAGGCCCCAGCAGAAAGGCCCAAAATCTTCAGGTCCCCTCCTGATGCAATATTTGAAATAGATGGAGAGAATGCACAGATTCAGAAGAGTAGAGCATTAATGCTGAAACTGGCTTAGATGTTCTCTTAAACAGGCTAACTGTTAAGGAAAATCTCTTACTCCACATGCACAGTAAGCAATTTTCCTTCGCTTAAAATGGAAATTATTCCTTGAATTTTTCCCTGAACTAAATAGAGACTGTTCTTCATTGAAGACTGACTACATTCCAAGTTTGAAGCTTTAGATGGGGACTTTCAAGAATACCTACGTGATTTACGTAAAAAACATCTGGTTTTGAATTATCTGAATATCAGAAATACCAATCCCAAAACTCAGAAATGGTTGAAAGTGAAGTGCGTATTTTAATGTTAAATCTTTACTATATAGATATATTCTCAACATACATAATAGTATTACATATTCTCACACACTCATCTCAGATCCAACAAGATGATTCATAAATGGTTCCCACACATTCTCAAATACATCTCCTGTGTCCTGCTTTTGATACATCACTCTTTCAAGAGACGCATCCTGAACAAGGCTAGCCCTTCATTCCTTATCTGCAGGGGGAGCAGTACCTTATTATTATTCTCTTCACCACCCTTAATCCAAACTCTATCTAGTTTGCTTTCTTTAATGAAATGTTCTTCAGATCTGAACTGTTATCTAGGAAATATGCAGCTGAAGTGGCCATAAAGTCTACCTGCAAAAATAGTATTTTTTCAAGCACATTTTCTCAACATCTGAAATTCAGCTATGTTATCCTCATGTATTTGTTAAGCACAAAGAGTAAGTTTACACTGTGAAGCATTTATATGGGCAAAAATTAATTTACTTTATTTAGAAATTAGATGGTATATTTCATTAATTTTCACTGCTTAAATATGTTATTTTTAATAG